CTGCTGAAAAACGCCTTCTGCCTGGAGGACGGGGAGGAGCAGCGTGCCACCACCCCAGGTGAGGGCTCCCCTGGCTCTCCTCCGGTGGCAGGAGGGGCAGCGCAGGAGGAGGGCTCTCCCTCGGAAGGGAAACGGCAGCGTGAGGGTGGCCCGAGGCCCTTGCTGCCACCCTGCCTCATCAATCCGAGGAAGAGACTGCGGACGGCAGCCCCGAGCGCTTTGGACTCTGCCATCACTGGTGACGAGCCCATCTCCGACAGCGAAATTGAGCAGTACCTGCGGGGCCCCGAGGAGATCCGGGCCTTCAGGAAGGCCAAGGCCTGGCCGTGAAGGTGCTGACCCCCAGCCAGTGGATGGGGGGGGGACGCCGGGGCAGCAGGGACTGCAGGACCAAAACCTGACAGTGGTGGAGCCATCACACGTTGCCCAAGGGAGTGAGGTTGTGGGGAGGGAGTGGGTGATGTCCTCTTTCCTGTTCTAGACCAAAATGGGGCTTTTTCTGGAGTGACTGCTTTGGGCTGTGTTACGTTTCTGGGAGCAGCTTTGGACTGTGTGTGCGCGGTGCTGCCGGCCGCTCACGGCCGCGTGTGGCTCTCTCAGCGAAATAACTGCCCTCTCCGTGCCTGGCAGGCTGTTGTATTTGAAGGGGAAGTCTGCGAGAAATAAATGACAGTAGATTTCGGCAGATTGGCAAATCTTTAATATATTAAACAAAACATATCTGCTAGAAAACATTCTATTTATATAAAAATGCAAAAAAGACCCCTTTAGAGACATTTCTTTGGCATACTTTCTCCTCCCTCCCCCACGTATATTGCAAGAAGCTCTCTGTTGATATGTCATTTGCTTGTAATGTAAACAGACAAAAAAAAAGTGTAATTAATAATACAAAGCTTTTTATATAATACTGTCACAGTGCAGCAAGCATATATAACAACTCAGCATCAGCAAGACCGCGCAGGCTGCGGCATCGACATCAAGGATTTAAGTTGTATTAAATACCAGGCCTAATGAGACGTGGTTTAAGCTGTCGGTTGGGCAGAGAAGTGCAGGCAGGCGGGGAGCGGCAGAACTGCGTTAAGCCCAGGGGTGCCCCAGCCCTGTGGGGTGAGGGTTCCCCCAGGGTTTCCGAAGGTGAGACAAATCTACCTCTAAGTGCTTTTTTCCACCACTGCCTTGTGGCTCCCGCTCCCTGCCAGCCCCTGCCCGGTCCTCTCGACCCCTCGGGAGGTAGCTAAATACTGAAACCCATTTGTACGCAGGGGAGAACAGGCAGGGGAGGCTGGAAAGGGCAGAGAAGGCACCGGGCTCCCATCCCACCTCCTCTGCCTCACTCTTATGGCTGCGGTCGGCATCAGCTGGGCTCAATGCCGGATGACGGGTAAAAAATACAGCCCTGGTCCAGCGTGGGCAGGGGCGGGCGGCAGGTAGCACTGTACCGTACCAGCCCAGGACCACTCCTTGCCCGGCTGCGGGGTAAGCAAACGCCTCTCGTTTTAGGAAACCTTCGAGACCTGGCAGGGGAAGGCTCCCAGAGCCTGCTGCTGCCTGCAGTGCGGCTTTTTTTTATCTGCATGCTAGCAAAAAAAAGGGGCGACTTGTTTTTAAATGGGGGAAAAGAAAAAAATAAGTGCTTATCCAAGTTCCAGCCCTTTGAATGCATCAGGTGACCTGTCCAAGGAAGGTCCCTCATTAATTGGCATTGTTCTCCCACTTTCCCAGGAATGGCCCCTGCTCCCGGCGCTTTCCTCTTGTCTTACACGACTGTGCTGCCGGTAGCTGGGGGGGGTTTCTCTGCCTTCCTAAGAGCAAACCCAAGTATTTTCTGAGCGTGCACCCCCAGGTTAAGGACAAGGACCTGCTTTGGGTCTCTACCCACGGCTCAGCTCTTTGGCTCTTTGGTGCTTTGGTGGAGAGGGTCAGTCTTGGCTCTGGCAGCGGCATGGCTCTGCCAGCCCACCCCATTGCATAGCTTACACCTCTGGGGGCTTGGGAGCCTCCTCTGGCTGTGATTTTAGTGTCTGGCTTTAAAACAGTGCAGACAATCGCCTCGCCTCAGAGCTGAGGCTCCTACTACCTTGTGCTTGCTTCGCAATATGGCTTTTACTTTGGCAGCCACGTAACCCACAGGGCTAAACGCTGGCATTTAACACGAGCGGCTAAGAATGTTTGCATGTAAAAAACAACATTTCAGTTGGACAAGCTGCTCTCTGACACTCTCAAAAGCAGCTTGCTCAGGCTGGGGGGGGTAGTTGCACAGGCGTTGGCACTACGGTGCCTGTAGATAAAGGGCACCCGGTGTGGTCCCCTCGGCGGGAATATTGCAGTCACAGCACGAGCAGGCTATTGCCAAAGCGCCCGAGGGCACGCCCGCTCCCGGAGAACACTGGTAGGTAACGAAGCACTCGCATCACTCACTGATCTGTCTATACATATATACATTCAATAATATAGCTTTGAAAAATAGACATTTGTTTCCTCTGTATATTATAAAATAGCATTTAGGATCAGTCTTAAGTGACATGCAGGAGTGATTAAAGTACGGCTGCACTTCAGGCTGCGGGAGAGCACGGAGTGCCTTTCACCTCCAGACCCCGGTGCCGTCGTGGGAAGCTTTGAGCCT